GGAGAGCTCCCGTGGTGAGGATGAACAAGAAGGTTGCATTGACGACTCTCATCACTTTCCCCTTCCCGAGAACAACTTTGAAGACCAAGTCACGAGTGTGGAAGAACAAGAGAATCCTTTCTATGATCTTGCATGGCATCTTGCCCTCCAAACCGTGCTTGAGGACATGAATGGGAAGGAGAAGGAAGAGGTTGAAGAGGAGGAAGTAAGCATTAAGGAAGGGGAAGATCTTGATTGTTCCCAAGGGGCGGAACGAATTAAAGAAGAAGGAAGGGAGGTTTAAGATGAAGTTGAAGGAACAAGTGGTGTCCAAGAGGAGGACGAGGTTGGGGTGGATGAAGCATCCACAAGTTACAAATTCTATGAAAGCGTTCCACCCGACCTCGATGCACTTTTGGAGAAGGACTCATTTGCAGCTCTTTGTCAATCCAACGCCAAACCATCGGCGATCCAACTTGGTGGATGCGATAGAAGCCAATCAAGTTTGCACTATATGGTATGGGGCAAAGAGAAGGAAGAAGAAAGAAAGAAGGAGAGGTCTCGTGGATGGAGCCTCATGACAACTCAAGTTCACGAGCCCTCAATCATGGATTCGTCCAAAGCTCGTGACTTGAGACACCACCTCACCAACGAGAACCTCAACTTCAAGGAGTTTCTTGGGTGGACCAAAACTTGAAGAGAAACCGTCCGTCTAACGACGTTAAAGAAGAGCTTGTTGGGAGGCTACCCAACTATCATCGGTTTGTTTCCTTTTGGCTTCAATAAGTCGACCTTTTATTTTGCCGCCTCCTTGCTCTTCCGGATCTCACCCGCCCTCCGCTCCCGAACACCAACATTCACCACTATCCGGTAACATCGTTCTACCTCCTTCTTTTACACCATTGAGGCCAATGTCGAGATTAAGTGTGTGTGGGTGGGGGGGGGGGTAGTCCATTATGCATGTGTGTGAATGTTTGGTGTGATTTTGAATGCTTGGAGCCTAGTTGTATGCCCAAATTTTTAAATATTGAGGGCTCCAAGCATAACAACTTCTACATTTGCATGATCGTAGTGGCACTTGTGTTGTTTTGTTCTGAATCTCGTGGTTATTAGCATTGTATATGGATTCTTTGCTTGCTATTATGTGCAAATTATGATGATGATTGAGACATGTATAGGTTTGTGCATAAGTTCATTTCTCATATGTTTGTGAACCAATAGATGTTTTCAATCGATTACTTACTTTTCAAAGTTGCCTATGCATCGAGTTTAGGTAGTTAGAACGAATGATTGAGCACCTAGGTAGCCATGTGAGACTTGTGTCGTTCGTTTCGTTCTTGTGTGATAGATCCCCCCTTACATGATGTGTAGCAATCACATTGTTGCTAGCAAGGAAGATGGAGGCATAGGATTACCCCACGACCCAAAAGTTGACTGACCCGATCATATTATTCCTTACTCAACCCTTTTGAGCCATGTGTCTAATGGTCATTCTCGTGTTAGCAAAGTAGTCAAAATCCCGATTTAAATCCTAAAATCCTACGCTTTTATGATTTTACTTACCTATTCCGATTCTGATTTCACTATAAAATCTATGGACCTTAAAATCCTACACTATTCACAATTTAAATCCTTAAAATTTTTAAAATCTTACGATTTTACGGTTCAAATCTTTGAGTCAATTTTACTTATTTTACTCAGAATTGGCAAAATCACGCCTCTGTTTCTTCTCCTCCACCAACATTATCTAGTTCTCTCACACTAACCATCATTGAATATAATCAATTCACATCAATGTATTAATCATCATCGATTCACCACCTCTTAACATTAAACATGATAAATTAGAACATTAACCTTGAAAAATTATCATTGTAAGTGTTACGTGCTTTTGTGTTATTCATGATATTACTTACTAAAATTATTTCTTCTTCAATTTTAAATGAACCTTAAAATCCTACAATTTTACGATTCCGATTTTACCCCCATTTTCAATTTTACGTAAAATCCCGATTTTGACTGCTTTGCGTGTTAGGTGGCTCATGCTAGTTGAGCTTGATTGATTTAGATAGAGCGACCCTACTTTCTTCGTGTCTACACCGTATTGAGTCACCCTTGTGTTTGGAAGCTCCATTCATACTGTTTGAGCTTAGATGAGGTTCCACATGAGTGATTTGTGTATGGTTTTGCTAAGAATGTGAAGTGAGTGTGGAGGTAGGTCTTAAAAGTTAGCATTGTTCCTTAAGTTAAAGAAATGTGGCATGTGTATATAGCTTTTTATAGCCCCCAAAGAAAAGAGAAACGAAAAGAAAAAAAAAAGAGATCAATAAGAGGGCAAAGAAGAAGAGAGAGTAGCCATAAAAAATATAATAAATGTTGATCATGATCTTAGAAGTGTTTCTTAGCATGCAAGATTTAGGAACACTTACATGTTGTTCTCCTATCACACTCTTGTGCTTGAAATTGAATAGCAAATTTAGAAAGAAAGAAAGTTGTGAATGTGTTGGTGATTGGTTGTGTTTTGGAAGTGTGGGAAGTGTGGTTTTTGGCTGTTGTTAATGGTCATTGTTTGTTGAGGAAAGTTCTAGATCGAAGCTAAGAACCTTGTACTTTGGTTCTAGGTTGAAATTGTGGAACCTCATGAAATATGTGCCACCACCCAAAAATCTTTTTCCCCATGTCCTAGACCCTAGCCAGTCATTTGAACCCGTGTCTAAGACCTCCGGACAAGCTTGCGACGACACCCATCTTGTGAGCTCTAGCATTTAGAGGCTACCATCATGGTAAAAGAATGTTAGGATTGAGCGTGAATATGAACATCTTTTGCATCAAATGGTCCTGACCCCACTGGTCGATAGTGAGTGATTCATTCATCATCTTTTGTTAATTTCTTCTACTCTGGTGAGGACTTAGGTTGCTCGATCGTTCGTTCCTATGATGTGATCTTCATGCATGAGTAACTGTGATTGGTGAGTCGTCAAGGCATGTTGTGTGTGGGTTCGTGAATAATGTGAGAACTCTTCTTTTGCACAATCTTAATACAGTTGAATGTCGTTTGTGTGGTTGCCAAGAATACTTTGTTTTTGTCCATAGGTCGGTGTCAATTAACCATTGTGATTCATTTGGTTTGTGCCCTATGACATGCCTCAAAAATTTTGTTGAAAAAGAGAAGTTGCAAGCTTACCCTGTTTTGTACTTGGTTTGCTTGGGGACAAGCAAACGTTCAAGTGTGGGGGAGTGATTCGGGTCCAATTGTACACATTTTGCCCCTCATTTCTTGATAGTTTGACTTTTAATTTCATCGTTCCTCGACATAATTTACGCTAGGTTGTGCTTTTTTTTTATACATTTCAGGTCCTAGCACGTGGAAGGGTTGAGGACGAGTTTGTGACGATTGGAGGTCAAAAAGCACAAAAACCGAAGAAAAGTCCAAAGTGAAGCGCAAACGTCCAAGAATCAGCTGCAGTTCATGGCATGGCATGGGAATTCATGGCCTCTAAGGCGGTGAACTGGATCCACAAACCGTAAACAGCGAGGAGACCAGGAGGGCTCTAGAGGTTGCTGATGACTAGGGAGTTCACGGTCTCTAAGACCGTGAAATTTGAGTGCCAACCGTGAACCTTGGAGAGTGAAGCGGTCCGTTTTGGAGACGACACTGAGTTCACGGATGCGTTTAGGTGTTCACGGCTGTGAACTGGAAGGCCGTGAACTCAGCTTGATCTCAGTATAAAGGGAGAGCTGAAAGTAAGAAGAACTGAGAGCATCATTTTGAATTTAGGCTTTCATTTCCTAAATAAAGAGGATTCTAGTGAGAGGTTAGGGTTTCTTCTAGAGTGAGAAAGTGCAAATCAAAGGAGGAAGAAGGAGCTTTGGGCTTGTACCTAGCTAGAGGATTGAAGATTTCTTCATCTCAAGGGTGTCTCAAGCAACAAAGAGGAAAGATTGTCATCACCTCATTGTTCTTTCTTCCACTTTTGTTGTTTTCTCTTGCTTAGCTATGGAATAGCCTACCTACTCACTTGGGTATTCTGAATTCTAGAATCTTTATGTGTTAGGATGTAAGAATATGAACCTATTCTGTTGATTGAGTGTTTTATATGATATTTGAGGTATTATACTTGAATGATTGAGTGTGCTAGCTTTAACTCAATATCGGGTAAAATTGACCTTGAGGGTGGAAATCCCCTTTTGGTCCAATAGGAAGCTATACTTCTTAGCCACTTGGGTAACCTCCTTTAGGTTGATTTAAGACAAAAATTTCAAGTGTCGGAGTAGGGTCGTGATTCCAACGGGATTATTCTCTCCGCCGACGGATTAAGTTTCGAGGGTTTGGGTTGCAATCCTTAGTCAGCTAGTTGAGTGGGTTAGGTTTCCTAGCCTATGGTTGTCACCCTTAGCTGAAAGGTTAAGAGAGTTAGCTTTCTAACTTGTTGCAACGATTCTCAATTATCTAACTAAGAGAGTTAGGGATCTCCTTTGTTGATCGGTAAGGAGGGCTAGGTTCCCTAACTATGAATCACAATCCTTGACCTAACGGTCAAGAGAGCTAGTTCCCCTAGCTTATTGTTGTTGATTTTCCTCCAATGACCGACTAAGGGAGTTAGTTCCTAGCTAGTTGCACCCACCTTGCGGTGTATGAACACTTCCTTCACACTAGAGCTTTGTTTGTCGCTTCTTAGCATGAGACTAGGGGGAGAAATACCCAGGTGAAGTCCCCTCAAGTAGAATTCTCCTCCATTTACTTTAATTGCTTGTTTAGTTTGTAGTTTTCTTAGTTTTAAACCCAAAACTGTTTTGCTAGATAACAACTTAAGCAATTGAAGTAGGGGTACATGGACACGTCCGGGTTTGAAAATTAAATACTTGCCCTATATTGCACCCGACTAGAGTTTTAATACTTGGGCTCTAGTCGGGATTAACTCACGGTGTAGTTTCGTGCGAGTCACACCCACTAATTTTGTTCTCTCCAAGCATGTAGGTAGTACCAGTGCTCGTGATGCCTGGACTCATATTGCCAATGCTTAAAGATTCGTCATTCGACACAGCATCAGCCACCTCAAAGACCAGTTCGATAACCTCAGCCGCAGTGATGACTTCGTGAAAAATTTCTTACTCACGCCAAAGACATCAGTGATCGCTTGACTATCCTTGATATGCGTGAGCCCTTTGTTCGTGTTGTTGAAGCTCGTCTTGAGCCTCTTCTCTTTGATGACCTCCATGGCCTCCTTCTGAGTGAAGAAAAGCGCTTTCGCCAACATCACCTACTCCTCGATGTTGTCTCCCCAACTTCCCAGTTCAGTCGCACAGGCAGGAGCGGCGCACGAGGTTGCGGATATGGGCGCTCAGTCAGTAGAGGCCGTGGTGGTCGCTACCGAGCTTATCTGTTTCCCCTTCACCCACTTTCTTGTTTTACATGTACTGGTTCCGGCATACTTGAGCCTCAACCAAACACAAGGCCCCCACTCATCTTTCTATCGTCCCCATCCAATGTTATCAATGTCATGGTTTTGGTCATTTTGCGAAGCATTTCCCCACACCTTGCCCATACCCTTCTTCAGCCCATCATGCCTTCTCCACTACCTCTCTAGCCTGATTGATGGACTTCTACATCAATTACCATATCACATCTAATCTCAATAACCTTGCAATTCATTATGAATATCAGGGACCGGATGAAGTCTCCTTTGGAAATGGTAACACTCTCCCCACTGCTCACTCTGGCTCTTCTTGTGCATCTCTTTCCCTTATTCTTCATGTTCCTAGCGCCACCCACAATCTTCTCTCCATTAATGCTCTTACATGTACTAATCCCTTGTCCATTCATTTTGTTGATGATTTTTTTCTTCATTAAGGATACGCGCTCTTAGAAAATCCTCTATTGCGGTCGGAGTAAAGACGGACTCTAATCGCTTCCTTTATCCATCCTATCTTCTGTTGTTCCTCATTCTCTTCACATCACTCTCTCCTAATGGCATAAACAACTAAGACATCGCCAGACTCGTGTGCTCCGTCAAATTGTTCTCTCCTCCTCTCTACTACTCTAATAAGTGTGATGCTAGTCTTTGTCATGGTTGTAGTGTCGCCAAGATTCATAAATAGCCTTTTCCTTTATATAATTTTTGTGTTGATGGTCCCTTGGATTTAATTTATAGTAATGTTTGGGGTCCCTCTCTAAAACTTTCTTTTTATGATCACTTCAGCAAATTCACTTGGATTTCCCCAACACACGATCGTTCACATTTGCTTGACATTTTCATACAATATCGCACACATGTGGAAAAAATCTTTGGTCGTTCCATCAAAACTTCTCAGGCTGATTGGGGTGGCGAGTATAAAAAACTTAGCTCATATCTACACACCCATGGAATTCACCATTGCTCTTCTTATCCGTACATGCCTAAACAAAATGGTTGTGTAGAACGCAAACCTCGCCACATCATTGAAAATAGTTTGGCTCTCCTTTATCAAGCCTCTGTTCCCGTTAAATTTTGGCCTTATGCTTTTAACATAGCTGTGTATCTCATCAATCGCATGCCAACTCCTCTCCTTAATTCTCGCACTCCAGTCAATGTTCTTTTCCAACAAAAACTCCAGTACTCTCATCTACATATTTTTGGCACCTTGTGTTACCCTTAGTTGTGCCCTATTACTCGTCATAAGCTTCAACCTTGATCTTCACCTTGTGGCTTCCTTGGATTTAGTCCCTCTCACAAAGGTTATCGTTCTTACAATATCAATACTCAAAAAATCCAAATCTCCTATCATGTGCTCTTCGATGAAAAGTGCTACCCTTTAAAGACCCTCGATTTCAAACATCCATTCCCCCTCGTGTTTCGATCCCACCCTTCTATCCTTCGCAACCCTGTATGCTACCCTTACCCCTTCCTTCCCCATGTCTGGGTCCAATCTTGCCTCGCCAACTGACTCACTCCTACTGTCACTCTAGAAAATGGCCAAGTGTAACCACTTCCTAAAGCGTAGCATAGCGGGTTTGGGTTTTAATGTCAACCCAGGTCCTAGATGTGCTGACTACTCAGCGAATTCTTATTATTTAGCGGTGAAACTTTAGTGCAGGTTCAAACAAGCAAACAAGCAAGCAATTACACGGTTGTTTTCAAGTCGAGAGAGGTCACCCGGATATGGTTCCCCCTAGACTGCAGTTAAGCTGGATTGTAATTTACCAAGTTCAGTTTTAATGATAGTTATACTGCGGGAGGTTCTTAAGCAGTCTAAAGTCTCGACTAAAGGTCTGCAGACTCTCTCAATCTGAGTCCCCAGCGGGCGACTAACCTCCACCGGAGAAAACAGACTGAGGCCCTAACGAACCAAACCTCCACTACCGAAGTAAATTCGGTACAGAATAGTGAATTGGCTCCTCGACTAAAGTCGCCAATTCACTACCTTCAATTAAAGGTGCTCTATTAACCTAGGCAGATATTCTCTTTCTAGGCTAAAGCAGAAATAACAGGAATTTGATCAGGATTCAAGTCATTCAATCATTCAAGCCTCAATTGAATATAATCAAATCATAAAATCTGTACTTGGGTTCATACAATCAGACCTAACATACAAATCTAGGGTTCTCCATACCCAGATGAATGGGAAAACTACTCCATGGAGAGAGAAGCAAAAGCAGATTCAGATGCGGAAACCATACTGTGAAGGATGGGTTACTGCTCCTGGTCGTCAATCGGCACTTCTCCAAGTGTGAGCCGAGCTCCAATGGTGATGAAGATCAAGCTAGGGCACTTGGGAACTCTGGTTTGTCGCTTTCTCTCTCTAGGAATCGCTCTGTCTCTCTAAAACTCGGAACCCTTTCTTCTTTGGCTCAAATCTGCCGAAAAAGGCCGACCCTGGACAAAATACGGTCGAGGGCACGGCCGTGCTTTGCTTTTGCTCTCCCGTGCCCTTGCCATGTGTTAAAAACACGCCCGCGTTTTGGTGAAAACACGGTCGTGCCTTAAGTTGGACACGGTCGTGCTTCTAGTCTCTCCCGCCCGTGTTTTGGGCCAGTGCATGGGCAACTTCGATCAAGCCTTGGCAGTAAAAACACGGTCTAGAAACACGGCTATGTTTTTGTTTAGTCCAGCCCGTGTTTTGGCCTTCTCCTCAGTTCAGCTCTCGGCAATAAAAACACTGGCATGCTTTTTGGTGTACACGGCCGTGCTTTTCAGGCCTCCTGCCCGTGCTTTGGCCCCAGCTCGACCGAATGACTTCCAAATCCCCCGACACTCTTGCTTAGCCTTTGCTTCGACATCTGGGACCTGAAATATGACAAAGTAGCACAACCCGGCGTAAAATAGGCCAAAAATACACAACTATGCCCCGCAAACGGATGAGAACTAGGGGTGCAAACATGTGCAATTATATCGTTATTACCAACCCACCATCCACTACTTTAGCTCCCTCTTCCACCCTAACCCAACCCACTTCCACTCCACTCACGCAACCCATCACTTACCCCTCACCTACACCCCCTCCCCCAATTCTAAACCTACGCTAGATCCTCGCCACACCTCGCGACCCCTCTCTCTCTCATTCGTCCCTCCCCTCCACGCCTATCCACATCTCCTCCCTACAATCACCCATCATCAACCCACCCATATCTCACTCAAACCAAGACCGGAAAACTTAAACCCAAAATATTCCTTACCACCACCACCGTATTGCTTCCTTCCCTTCCCAAAACTAAAAAACATGCATTGGATGATCCCTACTAGCGCGCCGCCATGACAGTGGAGCAAAATGCTCTTCTTTGGAAACAAACCTGGACATTGGTACCAAGGAACCCATCGCAGAACGTCATCACATGAAAGTGAGTGTTTTGCATGAAGAAAAAATCAGACGGATCTATTAATCGTTTCAGAGCAGGTTGGTGGCTCGTGGCTTTCAACAACGTCCCAGTCAAGAATTTGGGGACACTTTCAGCCTGGTTCTCAAACCCACATCTCTATGACTAATCCTATCTCTTATTGTGTCTCACAAGTGGCTCATTCGCCAACTCGACATCGCAAATACATTTCTCCACGGTAGCCTGTCTAATGATGTCTTCATGGAGCAACCTCCTGGCTTTGAGGATCCAAAACATCCTGACCACGTTTTCCATCTCAAGTGGTCCCACTATGGTCTCAAACATGCACCACGTGCTTGGTTCCACTGTCTTCGTCAGGCTATGGAATCCTGCAACTTCGTCGGCTCGAAGATTGATCCCTCCTCTTCATCCTATCTCGCAGGTCTCTCCGCCTATATGTTCTTGTACACATCGATGGTATCTTACTCACCTTGAATCATCCAAAGGATGTCCTTGACATTCTAACGTTTTTGCAGCGCTGCTTTGCCTTTCTTGATTTAGGCCAACTATCATACTTTTTGGGCATTGAGGCAATCTAGACATCACATGGTTTTTTTCTCTCACATCACAATTACATCAAGGACATTCTACATCTAGCCCACATGGCCACTGCCAATCCGATCTCTACTCTAGCCGCTCTCTCCAATCCTCACTCCACTTATCAGTCCGCTTTCCCGGATGGAACCTTTTATCATTAGATGTTGGGGCCCTTTAGTATTTGCAGTTTACTCAACCTTACATATCTCAAGCAGTCAACTTTTGTGCCCAGAATATGCACAATCCACTAAAACATCACTAGTGTAATACCCCAAATTTTGGGTTATGGTTCGACCATAATACGTGAACGGTTGGATCGACGGTTACGTACGGAGGGTTACAATCATGGGTTAATTTATAATAATAATAATAATAATAATATAAACTATATTATTATTATTATTAAAAAAAAAGAGGGAAGAAACCGCTCTCCCCAGCAGATCTCGGCCTCACCTCCACTTTATCCTAGCATATATATAATTATATGCACAGCCGAGAAACTTAATTATCCCCAAACCCCAGCAAAAAGCAATTCTCCAGCCCGCCTCCATTCTTTCCCCATACCCAAAAACCCAACACCCCCTCTCTATTTCCCCAAGTAGGCGAACTCCGCTGCCTCCATTAATCGCCACCGCCAACCGCTACTTTGTTGCCGCCAATTCGAAACTCTACCCTATTCCCCTCAGTTCCTCCAACTCCAAAGTGCCAACCGAGCTCCCCTTTATTGTCTGCAGTTCGTCTCCTTGATTTGAAGAATGGGGATGCCATCACTTCCTTTGATTACCTCATGGAGAAAGAGGCGTTGGTTATGGGGACTTCCAATGGTCTTCTGTTGCTGCATATGGTGGATGGCATGTTATTATATGTGGG